CATATCTTTGTTTCTTCATTTACTATATGGTACATATTTTAATATATTTATCCAATATCATTTTCATTTAATCAATATTCAAGTGGTCAATACTCTAATGGATAAACTAAAAGTAGCTTTACTACTGTGATTTTATTTAGGAAATTATTCTAGCTTTCTTCAATAAAGTCTATATATACTATGACTTTTAAATGACATTGAAGGAGAGAAGAATATGCCACCCCAAAATATGCAACTTGGGCTTGTGGATTATATTCAGCTGGAGGCAATCAAGACCCAGCCAACTCAAGAAAAAATTTTATTTACTCTTACCGCCCTGAAAGAATTTAGACAGGGGGTATGGCTTGGAGAAAGAGAGAGAGCTATTCAAGAGATAACATTCTTTCTGGCAGGACGAACATCTTTCTTACTATTCTTATAATACCCTTCCCCCTTTGAAACCTCATGATCTTATCCCATTCCTTAGCTCAGGATGGCACATAAGTCTCAACTGCCCACTTGCCACTGGATCTCATATTTTTATAGAGTTCTTGTCTATCCAAAATGAAAAATTTGTTTTTCTAACATTAATCTGTTTTATGTCAATTTAATTATTCAACCAGCGAAAGAACATAGAAGGATAAAGGAAAAAAATCTCCTTCTAACATTATAAATCAATTACCATATATACATATATTTTCAATGATTAATTACAATGTTTCAAATAAAAAGAGCCAAAAGTAAACAAAAGAACTGTCATATAGTTCCAAAAAACAGGTGAATGAAGTTAGGCAATAGTAAAAATATTAAAAGATATTAAAATTACAACATACTTTGCAACTTCATCTAGCAATTTATAAAACTAAATTAATTTTAAAATACTACTTTTCAAAATACTATATTTGCAACTTCTTACTCTGGTACATATAATGTGTGGTAATTGGCAATTGTAGAAGTTACAAATATTATAAAATAAATCTGATTTCTAGAATGAGCAATGTGCATAAGAACTTAATAATTTAAATGAGTTCATTTTGGTGATAAAGCTTATTGGAAGAGGATATAGAATTTTATAAAATACCTCTCAGCTTCTTTTACTTACTAAATCACTTTCTATATATTTTAAGAGGAGGCACATTAAGTGAAAATAAAAATAATTTTAAAAGTTTTAAAAAAAATGATTGCTTTATAATTGTAATACATTTGCTAAGAACAAATCGCACTAGAAGATTTTGAACATTCAACTAAATAGACTATTCCCCTAGTTACATGATATTGAAATACATAGATGGTCTGTTCAGAAGGTATCCAGTCATGCAATATGAAAAATAGAGACATTTATTGAAGAAGGTACAAGATACAAGAAACATTGTCCATAGGACAATGGTGCCTCAGTCTCTTTCAAAGTAGGCACCTTGGGACCTCACACGATTCTCCCAGTCACCATCAGCTGCCCAGTCATACCTTCCTGAATCTCATCGAGGGTCTGAAATCTCTTACCTTTCAAAGGTTATTTTAGTTTTGGTATAAGCCTAAAGTCTCAAGGTGCCAAATCTGGACTGTAGGTGTCTGAGTCACCTGGGTGATTTGATGGTTTGCAAAAAAGCTCAGTGTGAGATGTAATGCATGAGTGAGCATGGTGTTGTGATCAAGCTGCCAATCACCTGTGGCCCATACCTGCAGCCTTCTGAATCATCTGAATAGTTTCCATGCAGGAATGTTCAAGCTTAATGCAAAACTTGAGGTAGATCTGTTGCTCTACTCTCTCAGTCATTTTTAATGCAATAACTACACAGTATACACGTTCACGCAACAGCATCTACTGCCCCCATTGACTAGTACAATGAAGTTGTCATTGTTCATGCATGCAAATTCCAGTCCACTCTCCTTGGCTGCCAGGTTACACTGATGTTGTGCAAACCATTCTCATTATATTAACAATGGCTGGACTTTCTCTGTACAGACCTCATGTTTAGGTTCCTACAGTATAAATTCATTAAAGTCCTACATATAATTACATCTGTGCTCCTTTAATTGTTTTGGTTAGTTATTTAATTGGATACAAATAAAACTAAATGCCAAAACAAAGTGCCTTGGAGATACCAAATTTTTTTATTTATCATGACCATTTCTTTTTCAATATTTATATTTCAAAGCAGATAAAATTATATGTAAATAAAAATGTGTCAATGTCTGTATGTAAAATAACATACAAGAATTCATTAATATAATGAACATTGTAAGAAAGGAGGTCTTAATAAACTAAAATATGGAAGAGAGTTCAAGTTCTGAAAAAGGTGCTCTGTAAGAATTATTATAATTTGTCATCTTCTTCCTTCACATACTCAGACACTTGAAGGTGTCAATCTATATGCAGCAAGTCTTCAGATAATCCTAAATCCTAAATAATAAAGACCAATCATGCAAGAAGCAAGAGGTATGCAGTATGTACATAGTCTTATACCATTTGTTATCATAAGTTAAAGTACTCACCACATTTACTCAATAGTTGTAATGTAAAATATTTTATATTAGGTATACAAAGTATATTAAACATAGCTTATTAGCTGCAATGATGTAACTAATTGTAAATAATTTCTGAGGTGATATGAACACATGTACATGTATATATGTATATATGCATGTGTGTACAAAAAATTTATATTCCATATGCACCCTCTTTACATGTAGCATGGCTATTTAAGTCAAGAACAAATACCAATTATTTCATATTTTTAAGAAAACACTACAAAAGTTAGAATATTTATCATTTAAAAAATACTATCACAATTTCTGCATTATGATTTTTACAGGTAGGCATGCCGGCTGTACAGCTAGCAGGAATTATGTGCCTGAAAAATGAACATTTTATTCACTCAGAAATATTCTGGAGTCATTATCAGTTATTTGTATCTGGCAAATGCTCAGACACATATGCAGATTCTTCCAAATATTTGGGAATACATGAAAGAGAGGTTCTTGCAAGACACAATGTAGCCTCACTTGGAACTAGCAAGACAGCTGGCATCCAGATCGGCCTTTCCTGGGGAGGCCAGGAAAGCTTGCCTCTGACAGCAAGCCCTGTCAAACTACACCCTGCTCTGCAAAGGCAAATGAGGTACAAATCTTTACACCTACAGCAAATGAACTAGACTTTGTCTATGTCTGTCAATGTCTTTCAGTCAATTACATTCTGTCACACTAGAGACAGCTGTGCCAGTATTTACCTTCAGCCACTATTGAATGTTAAAATTTTGAGCTGAAGTTATCATTTTCCATGGGCATTACTAAGAAGAAAAAGAAAAGGAAATTTAACCCACCAATAGAATTCTGGACATTAGTAGATTCTATGGAAATAGAGATCTTGGTTTTTGAACCTTTAATTCTAAATTCCCTAGAGCCGCTGGGTTCTCCAGGTTTTATTTCCACCAGTGCTCCCCCAGACAGGTGTGAGCAGAGCAAAACGAATTGCCCTAATAGTTTTAGGAATATGGACGCTTTGTGCATAACTCTGGAGGAAGCACAGAGTCCTATGATTACCAAGAATGAAGTTTTCCAAATTCTGTCAGCTTCCTCTGTAGTCACTTGAGGGTGCGACTTATTTTGGGAGCATTGAGGAGAGGTATCTCTTTTATAATTCCTTTTTCTTTCTGAAGCCTATTTTCACATGAACATCCCAACTATGAGCTCATTATCCTGAGCATAAATGCCGGCCAGGAAGGGAAAAAGCAATACTGCTGAAGTGCTGAATGAAACCTGCCATCTAAAAGCTACATTATTTGGAGGAAAATCTAGTAATCAATTGGAAATCAGCCAAAGTACTTAGCAAATAAAAGGTTGCATATTTATAGGAGTTTCTATATAAAAGGGACAGGGAATAGTTAAGCAGCACTCAAAACCTTGCTCCTCACCCACTACTCACCTCATACATAAATGAATTAGCTGATATTAGTTTCAAATATAATCTTTCTATATCTCAATTATTCTTTCAAATTTAAAGTCAGTTAATTCAATCAGCCAATGTCCTTAAGTCTAATATAAAAATAGACATGTTTGGACTAAATCTTATTTTCCATTATCTGAGTTGCAGAGAAACCACATTGTTGTTTACTGAAGTTTATAGTTTCGTCTAATTTATTATTTTCTTGAGGACTTTGCCACTGTGTATTTAAGCAATAGTACATCAATTAAAAATTACAGCAGCACTACTGGAGCTTGAACGGACTACATTCAATTTGCTTCTTTTTCAGCAATATCCATACCACCTGCCATCAAAATGATCACGGCCTTCTTGAATAATCCAACACTAATTGTACATCATTAAACTTTTTAAATTTATGAATTTAGATACTTTTAATATTAAAAGCAAATTTTTGTCAACACTGTAACAGTGATTTCAATAAGAATAGTTAAAAATCTATTCTTCAAATCTCACAGTTAAACAGTATCTGTTAAGAAAGTCAAGCAAAAATTCAGCACCAAATACCAACCTGAATTATCTCAATATTACTAGATCATTATGCAATCTACTAGATAATTATGCAAACTTCATATCTGCAAATATAGCATTTCAATGATTAGGTCTCCACAATTTAAACAAAAGGATTCCTTGAAATAGGCGGATAGTTTGGGCAAAGGGCAACAACTGCTTGAAGTAGAAACATGAACTGTGAAAAAAAAAGGGTATTGCAATTTGAACTAGCAATTACTTTCAGTCTTCACTTTACTTCATTATGCATGGCCAGTATTTAACTGTTAGACTTGTTGATTTTTTGGCATTAACCAGCCACATGACACCATTATAATCATCACACACACACAAATACAATTCTTATCTGTTAATATGTATTACCTCAGGTAATAGGCAGATGTAGGGGAAATATAGTTTAAATTGGGTAGCAATAATGTACAAACATTTTATCTTAATCCAACTCCAAAAATCACCTCATTTTACTAGTAGCATTCTGTATCATTTCTTCCCTTGTTTCCCACTAATAACATATAGAAAATCATTTACTTACACTGTACAATGAGCTGCACCAAGGCTTCTCTTGGTTTCACGTTAAAACCATTGTACTGGCTGGTCTGACATCTGTACATTCCTGACATTTCCCTAGACACATTCACAATCCTCAGTGTTCCGTCATAACTCTCCATTTGCATTGATCCATCAGGCATTGCCACTTCCTTATCCGCTCTAGACCAAAGGATGATGGGTTTAGGTTTTCCAGTGACTTGACACTGCAGTTCTATTGTGTCTCCTTCTCTGGTGACCAAAGGTGATTTTTCCTGTGGAACAGTCAGATTGGGTGGAACTTGAAATGGGAAAAAGAAAATTTTTCAAAGTTAGTATAAACTGGTAAAGCATATTCAAACACAGAAAATCATAAGGAAACAATTTTTGTTGGTTGAAGATGTGTGACAATTCAAATGACCATAATTATAGAGAAGACCTTGGAAATAAGTGGCAAACACCCTCCTTGAAATAATTCTGAATTGTTTTTATAGAATTCTTTGAATGAGGTCTTCAAACTTTAGCAAAATAAATGAAGTATTAAATTAGACTGTAAATGGTCACCTAAGAACAATCTACTCAATTACTTGTCATTATCAGCCATTAAATGGGTCTTTAACATCTGTAATTCACAGAAGAATGATCCTGCTTTCTGAGCGTTGGGTCAGCTTTTTGGTCTTCGCTTTCTATGGTGCTATCTCTTACCTAAACATGCTATAAGAAAAGGTAAGTGACACTGTAGACTTAGTACGCACAGCAAATACAAGTAGTGGGAAAGGGAAAAAGAAGAACCTTTGTTATACAATTAGAAGCTTTGGTTTAGAAACTGTCGCCAAATTGCTAAGGTTTATGGTTTGCTTTCTCCCTAGTAGAAATGAGATGGAACAGCTCATTACAATGCCACACTCTTACAATCCACTGTATTCTTCTCTTTTGGATGTATAATATTTCTCTGAGATTTATATTTCATATAATTTCACTTTAAGATATTTTAAGATCACTGTAATTAGTTTGCCATAATGTTGACACTATTTCTGTAAAATTAAGTGAATTAAAAAATATTTCAATAATATAAGAATTGTAATTTTTTAAGTTAAGCTGATTATGATTTATTGAAAATATTTATGAGAAAATTAAGTTGATATTACAGGAACTTACTTTACTGTGCTAGCATATATATGTATGTTATGACTTAGGACAAAACATAAACTAACAAGAGGCAAGTGCTACCTGAGAAGTTTTCTTACAAATAAAATCAACTGTTCCATTGGAAGACTTTTGTTTTTTATACAATGCACATGAATTCAAATGTATTTATGCAATACAACATCAACAAAAAAGCATGAACTAAATTAAATGCCAGAAGAAGAATAAACAGAAATATATATGAATAATCCTATCCTGGTAAATGTAATATGTTCCCTTTGGAGAGTATTGCACATGGATAAAAAGGCAAAGATCCTATTCTCCCTTCTAGCATTACTGTGCGCCAATGTCCAGAAACAAAAAATAAACATAATTTTAAAATTATCTTTCAACTAATATTGAAATATTTTTCTCTCAGAGAAAAAAATAAATTCAAGCCCAAAGTGATTTGAAAATTAATTATCTTGCTATGTATCCTCATGTATAATTTTTAAGTTAATTTCTTCATTTACTTCTTATCTTAAATAGTTAAATGATAAAAAAAAGTAGTTAAATAATGCAGAGCATCTTGGAATTAAAAAATACGGAACATTAAACATTAACCACCACCTTCTTGAAATGTGTGTGTATGTGTATGTGTATTCTAAGAATTGCCATTAACAAAGCATTTATTTAAATATGGCTGTATTTTTAAAAACTGCATGATCAAATAATTTGAGTTATCTCTTCTTGTAAATACAAACAATTAAATGATTTTTTTAACTTATTCCTTTACAAGTAAACCACAACAGAATGATGTAACTATAAGCAGTATCTTCTAACAATAAGATCAAAAAGAAGTGCAATATTTACTTACCTTGCATGAGAAACCACACAGAATAAGAGAAATAACATCAGCACTTAACATTAATTATGCTCCTACTATGTGCTGGACAAAGGTAGGGATTTTACATGTTCATTTAACTCCCTTGATAATCCTAAGGATTAAATATTTAATATTAAAATTTAACAAATGAAAATCTGAGAATAAAAGAGGGTAAATACTTTTATTTGAACAAAATTCAAACTGGGACCAATTTGTATCAGGTGGGCAATGTAGAGACATGATAACCTGAAGCAGGCTCCAGTAAACTGGTGTCTGAAATGAAAAATTGAAGTTAGCTCTGAACTCCTGTTCATAACTGCTCTGCTCCTATAAGCAAACTGGAGTAATTTCCTGTGCCCATCTCTTGATCACTAGCGCAAGGACAATAAAACAGAGTCAAGGTAGAAGTGTAAGGGTGTAAGGTGTCATTGATAGATACTTTGCAAATTACCTCATCTATCTATTTTATATTATATATTTGTTTCTATCTCATATGTCTATATGTATCTATATAAGAATATTTCCCAAATATAAACCCAAACTGTTTTGAAGATATACCAATCCAAATATATATACAAATTTTGATAAATCTATGTGAAATAAATGAAAATAAGTTATAAATTGAGAGATTATTTAATGGAGTATTCTTATTTGAAACCTTCCATCCTCATTGTGCCAAAGACAAGCAAGGTGATCTTGGCCTAACTTAACCACTCTGAGTATTAATTTTTACATTTTGAAACTAAGGATTTGCATTTTATGAGCTCTGAGGTTATTAATGTTTGACTACAAGAACAAACTGTAAAGACCTAAAGATAGAAGTGATGCTAAATGAAAGTATTTATTTCATGACTTAATAAGATGATTATTCAAAGATATATATTTTACATTAGGTCATTCTAAAATATACTCTTGACTAGCTATGTTTTATAAGTTTATCATGCTAAGTAGTTAAAAAACTCTCTTGTAAATGTGTTATTTATTTATTTAAACTTTCCTCCCTATACTGTCAAAATTAAAGAAATGTAAATTTAAGTTTTAATCTAGGTAACTTGAAAAAAATTTTACATAAGTTAGCCCAGGTTTTTGCCAAATAGCAAAACATAATTAAAATATTGTGCTTCTATTCCCAGTGAGGAAAGAGTAGGTGCATGACTCTGCATGCTGGTGGAAGCCATCAGGCAGTAGGAGCTGAGATGAGTGAGGGCAGATGGAGCCAGAGGTTTGACAGAACCACACTGCCATCTGCCTCACTTCTTGACTTTTCGGTGATAATTTTTTTAGACATAAAAGATATCCAAAGAGCAGCAAGTTCAGAAGATCAAGGAGATTGCACCACTGAATGTCACAGGTCTCCTACCATAGAAATTCACATCACAAAGTACAGAAGTCAAGATAGATCAATTTAAGAAGGAGAACCAAAAAAGAGGAGTCTCACAAATAATGGTAAGACAAAGAAACACCCCCAATCGAAGGGAAAGGAGGAATTTCCAGAAAGAGAATTAAATGAAATAGAGGCAAGTAAGCTATCAGATACTGAGTTCAAAACAATGGCTTAAAGGAAGCTCAATGAGTTCAGAGAGAATTACAAAAAAGTACAGAAAAACCACAAGGAACTTACTGCAAAATATATCAGCATGAAAAAGGACATAGAAACTATCAATAAGAAACAAGAGGAAATGAAGAATACAATTTCTGAATTGAAAAACACAGTAGAAAGAATCAAAAGCAGGCTAGAAGAAGCAGAGGATTTAATCAGTGAACTGGATGACAAGGTAGAAAGAAGCTGCCAGGAAGAGCAAGAAAATGAAAAAGGACTCAAAAAGAATGAAGAGGCATTTAGGGAAATGCAGAACAATCTGAAATGTAATAATGTCCCCATAATAGGGCTACCAGAAGGAGAAGAGGATAAGGAAGGGATAGAGAACCTGTTTGAAAAAGTAATGACAGAAAATTTCCCTAATTGGAGGAGAGAAAAAGTCACACAAATCCAGGAAGCACAGAGGGTACCATTCAAGAGGAACCCAATGAGGTCCTCTTCAAGACACATCATCATTAAAATGGCAAATATTAAAGACAAACAGAGAATCCTAAAGGAAGCAAGGGAGAAAGAGGTAGTAACACACAAGGGAGCCCTGATACAGCTAACAGCTGACTTTTCAACAGAAACACTACAAGTCAGAAGAGAATGGCAAGAAATATTCCAAGTCATGAAAAGCAAAGGTCTGCAACCAAGACTGCTCTACCCAGCAAGGCTCTCAATTAAAACGGAAGGTGAAATAAGGAGCTTATCAGGCAAAAGAAGGCTAAAAAAATGCACCTCCACCAAACCAGCATTGCAAAATATGCTAAAGGACTGCTTTAAGAAAATGAAGAAAAAGAGTCTATGAATACCCAGCTCCTTTCACAGTCACCAATACTTATTAATAAGTATTTATTACCAATAAAGTACCAATATTTGTAATACTTATTAATCTTATTGTGACAAAGATGTGTTATTTTAATTGTTACTTTATTATTTATTGAAACTCAACCTGTTTCATACATTTATTTGCTTGATTTTTCATTTCTTTTTCCTCACTACTTCCTACCAGCTGCTTTGGTTTTTCTATCAAAAATGTCTATGTGTGCCTATTTCTTTTCATGAGTATAGTGAATTCTTAGTAGAAGTCATCATTTTCTCTTCTTGTCACTGTGTCCTAATTGGTCTTTCTGTCACCATCTCAATTCCTCCAAGCTTCCCCCTATCCTGTCATAAATTTTATAAGAACAAGATATTCTTATGTCCAAACCTTAATGAGTGCTAATAATAATAACTGATTTAATTTTTTAAAACAATTGAGAATAGCCTGACAGAAGTGTTAAATAAATGGTGGTACAGTTACACAACAGAATATGATGCAGCCTTTTAAATCATGATATAATAGACTCACATTTATCAAGAAAGACATTTATATTTTATGCAAGAAAAGAAAGCGAGAAATAGTATGACATAGCTATAACCACTGTTAATAAATGACTAAAATATGTTACTGAGCAATGTAAACAGTAATATCACCTTTTTTTAATAAAATGAGTCTTAGGCTAATTAATGTTTAAAGGGAGCTTCTTAAGGGGAAGTGTGTATATGATTCATCTTTATATTGCCAGCATTCTGTACTCTATTTAGATATAATATAAACTCAGTAAAAAAAAATTACAGCAAATTAAGACAGCAAGCAGTTGGGTCCTATTCCAGAGAAGAGAAGGAGGTTTGTATGTGGAAAAATCTAGCAATATTCCAAAACACT